TCTGCGCTCATTTCATCGTTTGTCTTTCTTTTTTTTACACTCTTTGATTCTTTTTGCTCCTCGCTGCTGCAGGATGTTTGTCAGGACGCTCTGCAGGGTTCTTGCTCTGCCGCTAGGGGGCGCTGTGTGTTTTGATTATGAAATGTTCTGAATTCACCTTTACGATCGCTAATCTTCCTGCTCAAACTAAATGAGGATTCATCTTGGTTTTTTTTCTCTCTATGAGTTCTGATTTCATCCTCGAACATTTCGTTTACTCAACGTTGATGAGTTCAGACGCTCGACATTAAAAATTCTTCCTTCACTGCAGAAACACGAAGATCTCCTCGAGTCATTTCTGTCTTTGATTATTTAAAAACAAATGAAGAAGAGAATATTTCAGCCTGTTTCTCATGAAGAGCGGGAACTCTGCGGACTTTAGCTCTCGTACGAAACAAGAACAATCCCGTCTTCAGGATGTCGTAGTTTTCAAAATCACGACTTTTCTTTGGTTTCATTCTTGTAACGAGCAGAAAATGTGCTTCATTAAAAACTTTTTTTTCAGGTCCACAATATTTCTTAAAATACGACGACTTTATTCTCTAAATATTACGTCTTACTTACGAATTATTCAAATTATTACTATTCTTGAATGTTTTTCGTAAAACATTACGACTATTTCTTGAATTATTACGTCATTTTACACACAATATTACGACTTTATCCCGAAATACATTTTTATTCTCGTAATTTGAGGATTTTCTTCCCCAGAATATTTCGACTTTGTCCCGACATATTCTGTGGTTTTTCGTAAAATATTTCTCCTCCGTTCTCCCACGACTTTAATTCTCGTTGAATTTGGAAATTTTTCAGAATATTTCGATTCTTAATTTTCTATTTCTACTACTTCAATCTTTAAATCTCTGAGATGTTTTCTTTCGTTTATTGTGACCTTTAAACTCCGTCATGAATCAAATAAATACACAAACAATAAATTAAAACGTTTATCTCTAATAAATGTGAAAACAGGTTTGAAGAAAAGTTTGTTCAAATTAATCCAAAATTTAAAATAAACTGAAATTTCATGAATTTTCTAGAATTTAGATTTTTACTCTCAAATTTCCAGATTTGGCGTCTTCCCCGTGAAGCAGTCTGAAATATTCTCTCCGTCAGCACCGAGTGACCTCGTCAGACATTTAAATCATCATCATCAGTGTGTGTTTGGTGTCTGTGTGAGCGGCGCCCTCTACGACGCGAGTTTGAACCCCGTCAGACGCGCTGGGCGGACGTCCGTCAGCGTCGTCAGTGTCTTACCATGAAAACGATGTCGCTGGTGTGATTCTGACCTGGAGACGCCGCCTCCACGCAGACGATTATTGTACAATGAGATTCTGAGATATTTAACCCCTAAACTGCCTATTTTGTTATAAAAAGTCTATATTGAACTTTACTTCAGCACTACGGAGTTCTTTTCTCTGCGTTGTTAATCATATATGAATAGAAAGTATAAAGATATTTGAATATATATTTTTTCTTTTTCTTTGATCACCACCTCCTCTGTCTTTTAATTTTCTTTTTTAAGCATAAATAAAAAACTTAACAACAAAACACGAAGCGGTGTACGCCTCCTTCCTCTTCTTCTGTTCTTTGGTCCTCCAGGTGTCGCAGCTACGGAGACGCTGCTGGTTATCTGCCGCTCGTCTGTGCGTGCAGGATATCAGATGCTAAAAATGTAAAGCAGAAGAAATAAGGAGAAACACTGATTGCAAAATAACGGCATAAAGATACATACGGAAGCCCTGAGGGGACATGCATCCACACATTGTTTGATACTCGTGATCATAATGAAGAATAAGGGGGAGCTGGTGGCGAGCGTGCACTCCCATGTATGGAGGCTGTGGAAAGGATAAAGGTAAGTATGTGCACGATGCGTTCCTGCTTAATTGTCCCTGAAAATGACCTCCAGAAGGAGTGGGGACCCAAATAATAAAAGTCGTTAAAGCACGTTTTCAAAAAGTGAAAAACAGAAACACATTTGTCCAGTTTTGGATCCTGAAGTGATCTGCAGGTAATCATCAAACTCTCAGGTTCAAGAAGAATCATGTTTCATGGCCAGCAGGGGGCGTGTGTCACCCATGTCAAGTATATATCAGTGTTTCTTCAACAAACATCATTGGGCACAGATTTCATTACATCAGAACACCTGCACAACCCTTTACACTAGTGAACCTCCATATTCATTCATACTCTTTGATCACCTGACACAGGTAACTCCATGACCTCCCAAACAAACCTTCATGCTTACAGCAAAAAAACATAAAATCATGAAGGAGAGAAAAGTAGAGGAACTATTGAGAGCTTCAAAATTTATTTATTCTCTTTTAAATCATACTTGTGTCCATCCGGGGTGCTTTTATTTTGAAAGTTCATGACGGATGTAGTATTATTTCCTCTTGTGTTTAACTCGTCTTCGGGTCAGTTCGGTTAAACCGTCTTTAACGTCCTCCAGCAGGGACTCTCGGATCCTCCGGGCCTTCTGGTTCAGGTCTCCCGGTCCCCGTCAGCTAGCGGGATGATGTATGCTACTTCTGTTAAAGCCTTCAAAATAAAATAAGTATAATAATAATGTATTTTTACATTACGGAAACGTTTTAAAAAATACCAGAAATCCCTTTAAATCATTTTATTTTTTATTTATTCATTTGAATCTTGATTCTCACATTTTTTGTTTCCATGGAGACGACAAAAGAGAAGCAACGCTCAGGCTTTCAGGCAGCTTTTATTCTCCACATGTGGACAGCAGACAGGTGTGACCTTTGACCCTGACCCTACAGGAGTCAGTACAGTAGATGAGCAACAAGGGGGCGACGTGGAGGAATAAATTAAAAACCTCAGAACACAACAACAACAACAACAACAGCTCGTCAGGTCAAATAAAAGAAGAAGAAATCCACTCTGAAATAAAACAAAATAAAAATCCACTCGAGGAGAAAAAAACAAAAAACATAAAAAAAGTCATTTAGAAAAAGTCGAGTGCGTTTTGAGTTTTTGGTTCGTTTCTTCCTCACTGTGCTTCTGTGACACACACACACACACACACACACACACACACACACACACACACACACACACACACACACACACACACACACACACACACACACACACACACACACACACACACACACACACACACACACACACACACACACACACACACACACACACTATTTACACTCGTATTTATAGACTCTTTAAATTCAGACTATTTAAACTCCGCCTCCTCGTGTCCCGCCCGGACCAATCAGCAGCTGCTGTTCTTGAACTCGCCGTTCTCAGTGATGGACAGTTTGGTGGGGTTGGTGGGTGACAGGCCGTTGCGGAGGTTCGGCGTGCTGTAGCGCTCCTTCACCTGCGCCAGCGCCAACATCAGCCGGGAGTTCGCCGCGTCCAGGGAGCAGATCCGCTTCTCCTGAATGGACGGAGACAAAGGGAAGGGGGCGGGACAGGAAGTCAGACTGAGAAATGCGAAACAAAATGCCGTGTTTGTGACGATCTGACTGTCGGGTAAAAAAACACATTGCAGCGCTTTATCGCCTCCGAGTTTAAGATGAAAAGGAATCCCTTAAAATCTCTAGAAAACCCTAAAATCTAATCCCATGCTCTGACTGGTCACTTCCTGTCAGCACCTTTGGTCACTTCCTGTCAGCACCTTTGGTCACTTCCTGTCAGCACCTGTGAGCTTTCAAGTGTTCCCTGAAATGATTCTCAGTTTCTTGTAGGACTGAATCTCTTTTTAAGGTCGTCGTGCTAAACTCTGATGACATCACTGACGGTGTGTGAAGGTGAAACTGTCACTGATTGTCGTGTTGTGTCTTTGACCCGACATCAGGAAACACAGAGAGTCAGAGGGCAGCAAACACAAAACAGCCCGAAGAACTGAAATCTACAAACAAACAAATAAACAAACAAACAAATAAATAAACAAACAAACAAACAAACAAATAAATAAACAAACAAACAAATAAAGAGTGAGAGTGAAGCTCTGCTGCAGGGAGTCAAACTGATCTGAAATCAGATGATCAAACACCTGAGTGACTGTGGGACCCTCTGACGTCCCGGGACTCTCTGCTGGTTCAGAGAGGGGGGGGGGGGGGGGGGGCAGCCAAACAGAAATAAAACAGGTGATAGCGTGACACACCCAAACACCAAAAACACCTGAAACCAAGAATGAAGAATCAGAGCGCCTCCTACAGGTCAACCTTTTGGACTTTAGTTTGAAAGTCTGTTTCCTTTGACCGGCCTGAGCACTCGGGGGGGGAGAGAGAGTGGGGCGAGCGACATGCAGCAAAGGGCCGAGTTCTGATTGGACTGAAAGTAAAGAGTCATGGAGGTGTGACAGAATGGATCCAGCGTTGGAGGCGGAGCTCCGTTCATTCCTATGAAAGCTGCTCACTGTGAGTCTCGTTCCCGTGGCGCCGACCAGCGTTCAGAGAAATATCTCTGAATTCAGCTTTAATTACATTTTACAACTTTTAGAACCTGATGGTTTTAAAAAAGGTTTTTAAGTTGATGTATCTCAAAAACATCTCGCTGCAATACCACATTTGGCCACCAGGTACAATTGGCTTTAACAGTGGACGCACTTCCTGGGCGCTTGGTGTCGACATCCATTGATGTGTTTCCCTATGAATTCTGGGTAATAAAACTTGAGTATTGTAAATATCTGCTCTGTGATTGGGTGCTCAGGTGTGTCAGCACTCCTTATTGGCAGCGTTTTCAAAAAACAGCGTGGTGGGGGCGGGGGGGGTGAGGAGGGGGCGGGGGGGGTGGGGGTGGGGGTGAGGAGGGGGCGGGGTGAGGAGGTGTGGGGGGGGTGAGGGTTGCCAGGCGGGCTACAGTCACTACTTGCCTGATTGGTTAACCTCACATCCGTTACTGACCTGAAATCAGTGAAGAGTCGATGAGATGAAGAGACACAAAAGATCTAAATCTGCTGCTGGTTTCCTCTCTTAGCCACGCCCACATTCAAAATAAACTTTATTTAATGATCCCTGCGGACGGACGACGAGGCCGCTGTGCGCCTAACACAGCCCGTCACTCCGTCTACAAGAACTCAGAGACTCTCCAGTGATTAACTGATGTGTGTGTGTGTGTGTGTGTGTGTGTGTGCAGAGCTGCTCTGACGTCAGTGTCACCTGAGCGTCGATGATCTTCTGCTTGGCTTCGATCACCGCCTGCATCTCCGCGTGGTCCCTCTTAAGCTCCTCCTCCACCGCCATCAGCCTGCACGCACAAACACACGGTCGTAATGCAACAAAAACATGTGACGCCTGAATTCAATCACCGCTCACTCAGACACAAACAAACAAACAAACAAACAAACAATTGCACTTGCAGGCCAGCAGGGGGCGGAGTCTCTGCGTACCTGCAGATGATGCTCTTCATCTGGCTGTCCTTCTCCTCCTGCTGCCTCCTCAGACGCTCCTCGCTGTCCTCCAGGCGGTTCTTGTACTCCTGCAGGAGCTTCTGCATCTGCTGCTCCTGAGTCAGCAGCCGCCGCTCGTACTCCTCCAGACGACGCCCCGACACCCGCAGACGCTCCTTCAGACGGGAGATCTCCAGCTCGTACTTAAAGGGGGGGGGGGGGGGGCGGAGTCAGAGTGACATCATCATCACTGTGATCACTGAGTACTATTCAACATGTTTTATTTACATCAGACACATTCTTTAAAAATCTGGTGAGTTTAGTTTGAATTTGAAACTATACGGAGTCCCAGGAGGGTCAAAACAAAAAGTCAATTTTTAAATGTCCTGCTATGTTGAATGAGTTTTAACCACGAGGTGTCAGAGCGTTCAGTTTCAGTTTGTTTTGTACCTTCTCCGTGTTCTTGCCCTCCTCTCTGCTCTTCTCTCCTCCCTCCTCCTCCTCCTCGTACTGTCCGTTGTTGAGCACCCAGGCCGCCGTCCTCTCCACTGGCGACATCGCCACCGCCACCGTCTCCACCGGAGACACCACCTGAGCGCCAACCAGTGACATCATCAAACACCTGAGACACTTCATCACAAACACACTTTTTTTGTCCACATAAATATTAGATTCATTGATTGTAGAAATGTCTCTTCCTGTCCCGTGTGTTGGTGTAGTACCTGCTGTGCCTGCTTGGTGGCGCTCCTCATGGGCGGCGCCACGTTCTCCGCAGAGGAGGGGGTCTGCTGGCGGTTGGCCTGGCCTGTGGCGGGCGTCGGCTCGGTGTTGGCGCTGCTGCTGCTACGAAGCGACGAGGTTTGAGGAATTGAGCGTGGCGTCCTGGCTCCGCCCCCTGCCCTGCTCTGCTGCTCAACCTTGACGATGTGGGCGGTGCCCGCCGTCGTGCTCTGACGGGGGATGGCGACGGCTGTGGCAGCACCAGGTGGGAGGTCCGGCGGTGCGTGTCGGCGTGGCGTGGAACACTCCTCGCTCTGCGTGCTCCGCCTGCTGCCCAGCTCGTCCAGGCTGCTGTTGGACGCCACGCGGCCTTTGACGCCCACCTGGCTGCCGAAGTCGTCGGAGTTGCTGTGGCTGTTGTGGGAGCTCTCGGTGCTCAGGTTCTCCGAGCTGGAGTCGCGGTGCAGCGAGTGGGCGGAGCGTGTGGACAGGCTGTGGGCGGGGTTACTCAGGTGGTAGACCGGGTTCTGGAAGGAGAGCGGCTGCAGGCTGCGCTGCTGGCTGAGCGCCGGGTGCAGCGGCCGCCTCACCTGCGGCGCGCTCTGCGGCTGAGCGTCTCTGGGCGGGGCTTTGGTCTGGTGGGGCGGCAGCTGGGGGGTGAGAGGGTTGGAGTGGGGAAAGTTAAGAGGGGGGGGCGGGGCGTGTCCGATGGAGGCCTGCGAGCCCACTCTGCTGAGTCGGGGCGGGGCCTCATGGTGCGGCGGCGGTCCTGGGGGGCCGTGCAGACTCTGGGCGTCCTGCAGGTCCACCATGGAGATGCTGCGTCCGTTGGGCAGCGGGCTGTCCCGCTCCTCGTGGTCTGAGAAGCTGGTGTGGGTGGAGGGATGCTGCTTTGCCAGCAGGGGGCGCTGACCTCGACCGTAACCCTCCATCAGCTCCTGGGACTGCAGGCTGCGGGCGTCGCTGCGGCTGCAGGAAGTGACACATTCATCTTTAAACATCACTGATGAAAAAACAGGTTTTAGAAAAAGTGTGTAAAGCTGCATTATTTAAATGTCCAGCAGGGGGCGACTCTGAGGTCATGTTGCTCCCTCAGTAAACATTTTCCTCATCAGTTTCTCAATCTCTAGTTTCACGTTTTAACCACAGCGTGACGTTCATTTAGTACATTTTGGTACCATTTAGGGTCACAGAGACCAGAATGAGGGGGAGGGGTTAGAAAGAGGGGGAGGAGATCGATAGAGGGGGAGGAGTTAGGGCGGGGCCACCTGTGACTGACAAGTCGCTGCCATGGCGACCTGAATAAATGTTTTGTTCAGCGTTTGGTTGTTCTCGCAGACACTCTGAGGAGATGGATGTTTTCAGTGAGAACATTCAGTCACAGGAAGTGACCATATTTGGTCATCGGTCACTCCTCATAATCAAAGACGCTGATTTATTCTACAAAGTAAAAACCCGGTTCATCATCGACTTTCTACACCATCAGATTTGTGTAGTCGCCCCCTGCTGGACATTAAAGGGACTGCAGTGTTACTCAGACCAGGTGATGTAGGATCTGGCAGCTGATTGGTTACCTGTCGGCGGGGTCCTCAAAGATCCGCTGTAACCCTGACGACAGGCTGCCGCTGATGTTGTGCGCCGAGTTGTGCTCCTGGAAGCGTCGTAGCTGCTGCTGGACCGGCGTGGGCGCCGCCAGGCAGCGAGAGATGTCTCCCAGAATCCTCGGCAGCGGGCCCAGCTTCGCTACGGTGGCCTGCAGGAAGGAATTTTCACCCTGGGGTTGGCGTGCGTGTGTGTGTGTGTGTGTGTGTGTGTGTGTGTGTGTGTGTGTGTGTGTGTGGATGGTTTGAATGGAAGCACCAGGATGCAGTGGTGGAGATGGCGGAGGGAGGAAACCAAGATGGTGGCAACAGAGAGAGTCGGCCAGACAGGAAGTGAACAGAAGGGGGAGGGGGGAGGAGGGGGGGGAGGAGGGGGGGGAGGGGGAGGGAAGGAAAAATAAACATGAGGGAAACTTAATGGAAACAAAATCAAACTACAACATGCTGCAACTGCACAGAACCACGTCACACACAGCAGAGCCATGCTGAAGGACGAGCTCTCACAGGTGAGACAGGTGAGGGGGAGGAGCTCAGGGGGAGGAGCTCGGGGGGGAGGAGCTCGGGGGGGAGGAGCTCGGGGGGGGGGCATGCTGTGAGTTTCAGCCACGCAGCGTTAATGTGGTTTAAAGGGTTAAATGGACTGAGGTGACATTTGATGTTTATTCATGTTACACCATCAAATACACAACACACACGCACGCGCGCACAAACACACACACACGCGCGCACACACGCACACACACACACACACACACTAACATACTCACACCAACACACACACACACACACACACACACACACACACACACACACACTCTGGCTAACTACAGGCCTATATCCAACCTTCCTTTTTTCTCGAAGATCCTGGAGAAGGTGGTAGCTAATCAGCTGTGTGACTTTCTCCATGACAACAGTTTATTTGAGGAGTTTCAGTCAGGATTTAGAGTCCACCATAGCACTGAGACTGCACTAGTTAGAGTTACAAACGATCTACTTCTAGCTTCAGACAGGGGACTTCTGTCTGTGCTCGTCTTGTGAGATCTTAGTGCTGCTTTTGACACCATTGACCATCAGATCCTGTTGTACAGACTGGAGCATTTGCTTGGAATTACAGGGACTGCTTTAAGTTGGTTTGAATCCTACTAATCAGACCGATCTCAGTTTGTACATGTTAATGATGAGTCCTCTATGCACACCAAAGTTAGCCATGGAGTGCCACAAGGTTCAGTGCTTGGACCAATTCTCTTTACATTATATAATGCTTCCTCTGGGAAATATTATGAGGAAACACTCCATACAGTTTCATTGTTATGCAGATGATACTCAGCTTTATGTATCAATGAAGCCTGATGGCACCAGTCAGTTATATCAGCTAGAAACGTGCCTTAAGGACGTTAGGACCTGGATGACCAGAAATGTTTTGCTCCTTAACTCAGACAAGACTGAAGTTATTGTGCTAGGCCCTAAGAACCTCAGAGAGACTTTTTCTAGTGATGTGACTGTCCTTAGTGACATCAGCCTGGCATCTAGCACCACTGTTAGGAATCTAGGAGTTCTATTTGATCAAGATATGTCTTTAGCTCTCACATCAGGCAAGTTTCAAGAACAGCCTATTTTCACCTTCGTAATATATCCAAGATCAGGAATATCCTGTCGCAAAATGATGCAGAAAAACTAGTTCATGCATTTGTTACCTCCAGATTGGATTATTGTAACTCTCTTTTGTCGGGTGCTCTGGCAAGTCTCTAAAGACTC